GAATGAGCTCCAGGCAGTTAGGACCACAGTCCCCAAACAAACCATTGGTAACACAATACGCCGCCATTGATTGAAATACTGCAGTGCCCGCATGGTGCCCCTCCTCAAGAAGGAACATGTACAAGCCCATATGACGTTTACCAATGAACATCTAAATGATTCAGAGAAGGATTAGGAGAAAGTGTTGTGGTCAGAGGAGACCAAAGTTGAGCTCTTTGGCATTAACTCGACTCTCACAAATGTTTGGAGGAAGAAAAATGCTGACTATGACCCTAATAACACCATCCCTACAGTCAAGCATGGAGGTGGAAACATTGTGCTTTGGGGCTGTTTCTCTGCTAAAGGTTACAGGCCGACTTTGCCGCATTGAGGGGTCAATGGATGGGGCCATGTATTGTAAAATCTTGGATGAGAACCCTCATCCATAGCACTGAAGATGGGTCGTGGATGGGTCTTTCAGCATGACAATGACCCAAAACACATCCTCAAGGCAACAAAGGAGTGACTCAAGAAGAAGCACATTAAAGTAATGGAATGGCCTAGCCAGTCTCCAGACCTTAATCTTATAGAAAATTTATGGAGGGAGCTGAAACTTCGAGTTGCCAAGAAACCCTAAGGATTTAGAGAAGATCTGTAAAAAAACAGTAGACCAAAATCCCTCCTGAGATGTGTGCAAACCTGGTAACTAACTACAAGAAACGTCTTACCTCTCTGCTTGCCAGCTCCATCAAGTACTAAGTCATGTTTAGCTTGGGGATCATATACTTATTTTACTCACTGAACTGCAACTCAATTTATTTAATTTGTATTGGGTCTTTTCTGGATTTTTGGTTGATATTCTTTCCCCATCATTTAAAATACACCTATTATAAAAATGATAGACCCTTCATTTCTTGGTTGGGTTTGCATATGATCATCACACTGCCCTCAAGGGACAAACTTACAAAATCTGCAGTGGATCAAATAATTTGTTTCCCCACTGTATATCTGTTAAAAAAAAATTGCATTAAAGCGGGATGTCTATGTATTTTTCAAGGCAATACGTTAGACTAGCACTTCACCAATCATAGGCGGTTAGCCCGGTTTTGGGTCAAGTTTCAAATAACATTAAAATTGAGGCACTGTTCAGCTTAGTAAATCAAGACATACATACCAATGTTTGTTTGGGTTTTTTTGGAAAGGGGTGCAGTTGGGTGGGTTTTATATATTTACCTTAAGGACAATTGTGTGGACTACAGCGTTTATTATTTAAGACTTTCTCTGTAAGCCAGTGACCCTAATTACCAGGTGATGTGCCCTGGATGATTCTTGGTTTCCTATCTGTGTTGTCTATTTCTTGTGGGGATCCTTAATGGAGTTCTATAGTCACAGCATACACTTTCATTTTATAACATGAGCATTGTAATAATACAAACAATCCAACATAAGCTTACTTAAATAATCTCTCTTCACATTGTGAGTACTGCCTGTCTGCTGTCTCTTTCCGCAATGTCTTGGATTTCCTGCATGCTTTGCACCTTCTCTTCTGCTGTTTAGTTTTGATTTCCAAGGACTACATATCTCATGCTACCTCATTGACTGCAGGCAGTGATTCCTGTACTGAATCTGCCTCCTGAAAGTCCTCCTGTCAGCACCTCTTTAGTTTATAAGGCAGGCTCTGTGTATTCTGTGACACAGCAGTACTTATTCATTGAGCATAGTGAAAACGTAAAAGAATTAAATTAAGTAATTGTGGTGGATTCTTCACAGAGTAAGCTTACACACTTTAAAATAATTCAGATGAATAGGAGTAGGCTAAAAATAATTGAAATACAGCGTGGAAATGAATGATTTTACATTTTGACCATAGATCAGCTTTAATGGCTTTAGGACAGCCTAAAGTTGATGTGTAAATTTGTCAGTTTCTCCTTCTGTATAATTATGTTAATATAATTATTATAATATGGAATAATGCTGAATGTATATTTTGGCATAAGATGTGTTGTGGTGCAGATTTGTTACATTGTGTATATTGCAGATGGAACAGTTGACGTATTACATACTGTACGTGATATCAACTCTATTCTGAAGATGCAGGCTTACACTGCAAAATGCATCAATTAGGGTGTTGAATGAGACCTCAGTTTAAACTTGGATTGATACACATAGTGTTTGATGTCTTAAAGTAGAACTATAGGCAAAACAGTTTTTTTCCATTTTGAATAGAGTAAAGGGGGTTATAACCCCTGTCTGTTTATATATTGCCATTGGTATTCCATTGGGGTGATATACCGTCACTTCCTGTCCCTTTAGCCAAACAGGAAGTGAGAGGAAATACCTTACATTTAGGGAATTCCTTGGGAACCCCCAGGTCACCAGAACTAGTGTCCTCATCGGAAAATGTCTCCGTTATTACTTTTCTGTAATAATCTAGGACAGTCCAAATCTTGGGTTTTATTTTATTTTCGCTGATATGGTAGCAGGACAAATAGAGAAGGTGAATCTCCCAAACGGGGGCACAGACAGCTATAAAGAAACAGAAACAACACCTCCTGCGCTCTAGGACCCAGAGAAAGGGTGGATAGATGGTGAAGGAACTTGTGGAAATTCGTCCACCAATGCATAAAGGTTGTGCGGCTCTAAATAAAGGCTGGGGAAGCCTGACCAGTATTGCAAAGTGAAACAAAAAGAAAGCGAACTAACCTTGCACATTACCTCAGTAAACTGTGATTTTTATTAAATTTAGATATATACTCAAAAACAAGTAAAACAAGCGTATAGGATCCTCAAAGGAACATTTGAAGTGTAAAACCAGTGCAAGTTGATAAAGAAGGGACCCCCTTCGAAATGCATCAACCGAACTTTGAGAGTCTACCCTAGTGATGTGATTCGCACTGGTTTTACACTTCAGTTGTTCGTTTGAGGATCCTATACGCTTGTTATCCTTCTTTGTGAGCATATATCTCAATTTAATAAAATAACCGTTTACTGAGGTAATGCGCAAGGTTGGTGCCCTTTCTTTTTGTTTCACCTTGCAGCAAATAAAAACCTGACAGGTGTTCTAATCCATCTCCGTATCCAAAACTAAAAAAGGAAAAAAGTTTTGCCTTTAGCCTTACTTTAAGGCATTATATGATTATGTCTATGTTTTTATTAAGTTTGCTAAAAACTTTTTAGTATGTATAAGTAAAATAACCTTGATATTCTTAAATACACATATTGTGGACTACTATATTTCTTCCTAACTAGTACAATAAAAGTCTGCTATAGAGTAACAAATATTGGTAGGATGAGCAAATACTATTAATTATTGCAGCGTACCCTTCATTTCCCAGTGCCTGAAAACTTTCTTTATTGGAAACATTGAGCAATGCAATTGAACATGATTGGCAACTCCATGAAACCTTTTGGATGTTTTTTTGGTACATGAACAGGTTTCTCTGTCATATGTCTTTCCACCAGGACATGTTGTCAGAGAGATTCCTGCTCGTGATTGCTGTAACTGCTATCTAAATCAGATCTCCAGCTTCACATTTTCCTAAATGAATCAGTCACAGATTCCCTCTTTGTGCAAGTGCTTCTCCTCTGATGCCTCTTCGCTGTTAATCTGCTGCTGAAATTTCACTTCAGCCCATAACTGCTGGCTTACTTCCTGTCAGAACTACCTCGGCATCATCCAAAGTTCCTCATTAGCAACCCGGCTGTCATGGACACACCCCTGGAGTCCTTATGCGGGTAATATCACCTGTGGGCTTTGTAACACCCACCCCATCCCTCTAACGATTGTGCTACTACCTGAATAAGCGCTGTGGGTTTTGAAATGGAACAGTGCTTCACCATATTCCCTAACATTTACTTCACAAAGTCGACATAAAATTGAACATTTTTTTGCTAGGTTAACAGCTTCTGCTCTTTTAGTAAATCCGCTCTAATACCTGTATCACTGCTGCATCATAAATTGAAACAAAATTGATATTTATGTATCTAAATCGTAAAGTGGTTATGCTTTCTTAGTGGTACACAGCTAATAGTGCTTAAGTGTGTGTAAAAATGCCTTTAAAGGAGAAGTATAGCCAAAGCTTTTTTTTTTGCTGTACTTCTTTGGATCCTGGGAGTGTAATTCGTTCTGCACTCCTGTGACCCATTTTCAGATGACAATGGGCTAAAGCCTGCTGTCAGTTTACATCACACAGCCAATCCAGGCCCTGAAAAAAGATACCTAGCATATGCTCAGGATCCATCCAGATGCCTGGTTCGGCAGCTGGTTCAGCCTCTCAGCGAGCTGCTGATAGCTTGAGCCAACCTCTCCCACCCCCAGGGCCACAGCTTGCCATTCCATAAAACAGTGGCTATATTGCCGTAATCTTGTCATAGCCAAACCACATTCATCTTTTGCTGATCTTACTGCAGTAAATTGAATCTTGGTTGGGTTTGCATATGATCATTACACTGCCCTCAAGGGACAAATAATTGTTTTTTTCCTAATTACAAATGATGTTGAGGATCTTTAATATATTAAGAATCGCAGCTACATTGTATGCCATGTGTTTTATCCCTCTAAAACTGCCATTGAATGATTCTACAAAGTATTCAGCTTTAGGCTCCTTGCACACTAGCATTTTTTTAATCCCCTAGAAGCTATTTTTGGCATATTTTTTTTTCTGCTTCTAAAAGCTAAATAGTGTTCTCCTATGTATCCACGCACCTTATTTTAGGCTAGTAACGTTTTTTTTTTTAAGCTTCGGCTTTTAGGAACAGAAAAAAAAATGTTTTTTGTAGACTTTTTGGGAGCGTTTTTTTCGGCAGAAAAAAAATTGCTGAACACTTCTAACTCTCCTAAACGCTCCTAACAGCTTTTTTTGTTTTCCCCCAACATGTAATGTAAAAACATTATTAAAATGCTACTGCTTCTAATTGCTACTAAAACGCTACTACCAGCTGTTTTTTTTTTTTTAGCCTAAAAAAAAACATTAGTGTACATGGAGCCTTAAATACTGGCTTTTGTTATGAAATAAGTTTACACAATTTTCTTTGTTTTTCAGGCTACACTTGTAAAATACACTACAGATGAGTTTGATCAACGTATCCTTTATGAATATTTAGCTGAAGCCAGCGTGGTCTTCCCTAAAGTATTTCCTGTGGTGTATGTACATATTTAATTTTTTTTACTTTTTTAAGCACTTTTTTTGTTTGTGTAGTACTACATATTTTCATCTAAACACTAGTATGTTGTCCAAAAAGAATAAAAGGATACCCTGATTAATGTTTTAGAGTGACGTGTAAAGGAGTTGGATCTGATTCAACATCATTTACTTTCGTTAATATAATCCACAGTTGAGAATTCCACGTCATATACTTTTAAGCAGTATTTTTCCTTTAAACTCTCCTCCTTTATAGTGTCAGACCCCAGAACTCTAAGTTTCTTGAGCAAGGAAGGTAAAGTAGCCTTGCAACTGGAAGTGTTTTGAAGGATGTCTTAAATAGGAGGTGAGGCATATTAATGGAAACCTTTACATAAGATATATCGAGAGACTGTAAATGTCAGTGAGAATGCTTTGTGAAAACCCAGTAAACACAGCTCAATATCAAGACACCTTTCTTTGAAAGCACGTTGCATTTGTGTTGCTTCCAAGAGCAATGCACTTGTACAGTTACCCTTAGAGAGGTAGGTGGGGCTTTTCCAATTACTTACCTGTCACCGAAGCCAGTGGAATAGTTCATTCACCTTTTCACTAACAGGATACAACAGGTAGTGCAAGATGAGTAATTCAAACATTGTGAGATACAAAGACTTTCAAAGCAAATTGTAGAAGAGTTTTATATGCAGTACTGGCTAAAAGCCGCCTGGCTGGTTTCCATGTGAGACTTACTTTGCTCTTGTTTGTTATAGTAAAATTCTGCCCTGCACACATACCTCTAGGGTTAGTAGGTTCAGTAGTGGGTGCACCACTACTGTGGTAAATATTGTCAAAAAGCTAGCACTCCATAATGCAACTAAAGAAAATTTCTTACCCAGATGAAAATGCAGTGTACTTCGACACTTTGGAATTGCTCAGAACCCATTTCTCATGGTAACGTTGACTTTGAGAAAGGGGTCCTGTATGGCTTTGAAACGTCATATTACACTACATGTGGTTTTTTGCATTGTTGTGTGCTGGCTTCTCTGTATATTTGCAAGGACAATTTTGTGTAAAAAAAAAAAAAAAAAAAAAACTATTATTAATATTCACATAATGTTAAATATCTTTTTCTGTTCAGACACAATTTATTGGACTCTAAGATCAACACCCTTTTATCGCTGTGTCAAGATCCAAATCTCTTGAACCCAATACATGGTATTGTACAGAGTGTTGTGTACCATGAAGAGTCTCCTCCACAGTACCAACCTTCTTACCTACAGAGTAAGTTGCACTTTATTGTGATCTTGCAGCAGAAGAGCCTTCCCACACCACATGGGAATAATTCTTAATGACACCCCTATGCATATTGCAAGCGTGAATGCATTCACGGCCACCAAAACATATGGTATTGCAGTGATTGCATGATTTTTGCATGTTCTACATGGCCCGCAGCCCATTGAAATTAAAGGACTGTCAAAAATACACTGCGCAAGAATGTGCAAAAACACTCTAAGCAGTAGTAAGCCACAAAAAATACAGCAGTTGTGATATTTATAGTATTTTCCCTTTTTTGGTTTATTTTGTGTTGATTTTCTTTGTTTGCAATTCTAGGTTTTGGATTTAATGGTTTGTGGAGGTTTGCTGGACCCTTTTCCAAGGTATGAAAACAATTTTACCAAAAATATATTCAATCTTCACAAAATCTGTTTAAATTGGACTGCAATAGAAAAAAAAAAATTCACAGAGGGTTGATTGCCATTTATACAAATGTGTTATTTGTGACTGTCTCTTTATAACTCAAAACCCACTTTGGTGTTCTTGATTTTTGGTATTCAGAGATGTACCATGTTTTATATGTAGCATTGGCTTGTTCTGCAGCACTTGCAAAGCACATAGAGCTATACACTTTAGTTCCCGTCCTGTATCCCAGTAGCACATTGGAGTTTGTGCTGTCAAACCTGTAAATTAGGTAGTTGTTGCAGTGGATATAAATGAGTTAACATAAGGATGCATGTGTTAATTTAAATATTTATAGTCCAAAAATGTTCTGGGGAACTGTACTGTCCTTAGCTGTCCCTTTTGCAAAGTACACTATATTGCCAAAAGTATTGGGACACCTGCCTTTAGAAGTGTGTCTATGGGAATGTTTGACCGGTTTTCCAGAAGCACATTTGGGAGGTTAGGCACTGATCTCAAACGAGAAGGCCTGGCTCGAATTCTTCGCTCGAATTCATCCCAAAGGTGTTCTATCTGGTTGAAGTCAGGACTCTGTGCAGGCCGGTCAAGTTCCTCCACCCTAAACTCGCTCATCCATGTCTTTGTGGACCTTGCTTTGTGCACTGGTGCACAGATATGTTGGAACAGGGAGAGGCCATACCCAAACTGTTCCCACAAAGTTGGGAGCATGAAATTGTCCAAAATGTCTTGGTATGCTGATGCCTTCACAGTTCCTTTCACTGGAACTTAAGGGCCAAGCCCAGTCCCTGAAAAATGATGCCACAACATAACTCCCCCTCAACCAAACTTTACACTTGGCACAATGCAGTCAGGCAAGTACCATTCTCCTGGCAACCGCCAGACCCATCCATCAGACTGCCAGACTCCAGAGAACACGTCTCCATTGCTCTGTGCTTTACACCACTGCATCTGACGCTTTGCATTGCATGTAGTTATGTAAGGCTTGGATGCAGCTGCTCAGCCATGGAAACCCATTTCATGAGGCTCTTTACACACTGTTGTTGTGCTAATCTGAAGGCTACAGGAAGTTTGGAGGTCTTTAGCTATTGACTCTGCAGACAGTTGGCGACTTCTGAACACTGTGTGCTAAATCATGCACTGACCCCGCATTGGTCATTGTACGTGCCCTGTTGCTTTTGTTCCCAGTTGCTTCCACTTTGTTATAATACCACTAACAGTTGACCGTGGAATATTTAGTAGCAAGGAATTTCACGGATGGACTTATTGCGCAGGTGGCAATCTATCGCCGTACCACTCTTGAATTCACTGAGCTTCTGAAATCAACCCATTTACAAATGTTTGTAGAAGCAGTCTGCATGCCTAGGTGCTTGATTTTATACACCTGTGGCCATGGAGGTGATTGGAGTACCTGAATCCAGTGATTTGGAGGGGTGTCCCAATACTTTTGGCAGTATAGTGTATGTGATACACATTGGAGTAGCAACTTCAAGATATTCAAACTTGTCCCTGTGCCTACGAATATTGGTGGCATAGAAGCCCTATATATCAATGTTGGTGGCATGAAGACTGACACCGACACACTCTTTCACTGTTTTTGACATTCTCGCTCACAGAGAGGAAAAGTAAAAGGGTGTAAGCGTTAAAAGTCCTTATTGCCATTAGAGTGGACACTTTACAAATCAAAATCTTTTTTTTTTTTTTTTTTTCTTGTTGAATATGGGCAGTTCTCTGGCATATTAATTTCTTGTCTTAATGAGACCCTCACGGTCCCTGTGAAGGATAATGGCATTTTCAAGGACCTCTTTAAAGCTTTCCTTTCTCTGGAGTGACATGCTGTGCAAGCTATGGTTGCTAATATGGAAAGCTACCTGACAATTGCTGTCTAAACACATGGCCAGAAATCCTATGTAGACCTTTTCTAGAAAGTGTTAGGCTGCAACTACAGACATGCTTCGCCATATCAGTAGAATGAGTCTTCTCTTCATCCACATGTGCAGCATCCTTTTGGGTTAAATGCTGGTCAGCTGAGCTCCCCATGCAAGAACCGTTTGAGTGGTTACCCTTTGAAGTCCAACAACCTGATTGTCATCCCTTTGAATAAGTAAATCAAGGGGATGAAAGCACTTTTCTCCCCCCAGAAAAAGTCTCTTGCCTGTACTGGTGGGATTTGTACTCCTAAGGTTGGTTGGGAATAGTTTCTTCCATCCTTTTGTCTTGTACTTTAAAATCTAAGGCAGAGCATATACTGTTTCCGAGGCTTCTTCCCAGCATTAGGGTGCCCCACTTTCTTAAAGTGTGGAAGGGTGGGATCTGTCTGCATTCTGGCCCCAGAAAATCTCAGGCACCTGAGCTCAGAGTATCGTTTCCAAGGGCTACAAACTAGAGTTTTATACTCTACCTCCATCCTGCTATATGCTTTCAAACTTGGCTCTCTCCTTGTTACAGAGGGTGGATCTGCTCCTGCTGTTCAGCAGCTCTTTTCCCAAGGGGGTCATTACCCCTGTACCAACAGAAGAACATTTTCAAGGTTTCTGCGCAAACCTTTTGATCCCAAACCAGATGGAGGCGCCTTCTCCATTCTAAATCTGAAGACTTGTTCAAATTGTTCCTATGAGTGCCAAAGCTCTGCATGGAAACTGCGATAAGAATAATAAACCTCCTTTACTCAAAGGACCGGATATGGCATATATGTGGAAGGATCTTCATAGACCTTAGTATTCGAACCAATACAGCAGTGCTGTGCAGGCTCCTAAGGGCTGGGGTAGCCCGATATGGCACTAGAAAATAAGGAAAAGGGGCACACTACCTCAATAAAAACTTTAATCGTACGAAGTAACAGATGTATACTCACAAACAACAAATGTTAACAGGCATATCATGACCGACAGTGGTCCATAGTCTGAAATGGTGCATGAGTAAAAAGGATACTTCAGAACGGCTGACGCATTTCAAGGAGCAATCCCCTCAATCAAAGGGCAAAACTTGGCCTTGGCCATTCTGTTTCAGAGGCCCTTGTTGTCTCAATCTCAAGTTAAGGCCTTTATATTTAAATCTTTTATTAAACTTTTTTTTCCCATTACAAAAACACAGCAAAGTATCATTTACATCCAAAATAAGAACATTCCCCTAAATCCCCACTACCTCCACCCCTCACCCAAACCCCCTTACAATTTACCCGATCCATATAAGCTCTTCCCTTCTCCTTCCAACTTTCCATTCTATACCTGTGATCTTTCTCCACAATCCTCACTTTCAACTCTTCCTTTTTATTACTATTCTTTCTTTCCTTCCCTCTAACCTTTCTTTTCCCTTCTCCTATTCCTACTACTGCCTTACAAAACATTCCCTTTATCCTCCTACCTCCAATCAGATCCCTGAGCCTCCCACTAATTCCATATATTTTCCAGATGCCTTGAAGTCAGACCATCTTCCCCAATCCTTTTTAAATTTACCCATATTACCTTCGTCTATGGTATAACTCCTCCATCTTATTTATATATTCCACCCTGTCTAACCAGTCCCTCATTTTTGGAGGCTCCTGTAACTGCCACAATTTTGGGATAAGCCCTTTAGCCGCACTGATTAGGTGGTATAATACACTGTTTTTATACTGCTTCACTGGTGCTTCTGTCCTATAAAACAAGCACACCCACGGGTCCTTCTGTATCGTTGTTCCCAATATCTCTTGTATGAACTGGATTACATCTTGCCAAAACCCCTGTATTTTTGGACAATCCCACCATATATGTGCCATTGTTCCCTTAAGTCCACATCCCCTCCAACATAAAGGTGAGACTTCTACTCATTGTTTATGTACAACACTTGGTGTCAAATACCACCTTGTTAAACATTTATAATTCATTTCTACCATGTTCATGTTAATCAACCCATGTGTTAAGGCCTTTATTTAGAGTGTGATGCACATATCTCCCCCCTGTGCACACTCCTGTGTCTCATTGGGGCCACAATCTAATTTTCTCAGCTTTTCAAAATTCTAGTTTTTTTTTTTTAACCTAATAAGGATATTCCTTTTGTCTGACCTTGCTCTCAAGGTGGCCTTTCTTGTTGCTATCACCTTTGCATGGAGGATCTCTGAGTTAGCAGCCCTATCCTGTAAGAAACCCTTCTAAGCGTTAGGCAAGAACGTGTTTATCTTCAGACCTAAATCCTCTTTCGTCTCAACCGTGATATCTTCTTTCCAACTCAACCATGACTTTGACCCTCCTTCCTTATGTCTTGCTCCAGAACAACCAAATGAAATTTATCTACACTATCTTGATGTTATACACGCCGCTTATCTTTCAACTACTCCCTCTTTTAGGTATAGCTTATGGTTTGAAAGGTTGCTTCCCACTAAGTTAAGGCACGCTTTACCAGATCTGTTAGTACTTCATGGTATTTTTAGCATCATGCATCTGTTTCTCAGATTTGCAAGTCTGCCAGCTTGGCTTGTATTCACATATTTGTCAAGTTCTATTAGGTCATTGTTCAGGAAAGCCAGTTTGAGGCTTAAGGTGCTCTCTGAATCTGTCGAGCCTTCTTGACCTGTTTTTTTTTTTTGGCCTATTGGTGTGTGTTGCTGTGTTTGCTCATCATTTTGTTTGGACTTCTTTTGGATGTCCCAATGGTAAAGACTTCAGATTCTATGTCTGCTTCTTGGAGTACAGTACGAGACACAGACCCCTCCCCTCTGTTCTCATGATCTCCCTTTTGGTTGCGATGGAACTGAGGCTAACTAGTAGTGAGAAAGCGTTTATAAAGGGGAATGTCCCTGCAGTCTTCTTCCTTTTGGCGTTCAGTCACCTGAAGGTGGTTGTATGTAACCCAGTGGTAATGACTACAGATCCTGTGCCCCATTCTGTACTCATGTTGACAGGAGCCACATTCCTTTTGGTCAACGTCAGCAAAATCCCATTGACTTTAATTGAGCAATTAATATGGCAGTTTAGGGACTACACTTGAACTTCTTTGCAATGCAGTGTTTCTGCCCTCTTAAAGGGCTTTTATACTGCAGACAAAGCAGATCAAACACAATTTTTTCTTGTCAAAAGTTGCATTTTGAATTTGAACATATTTGCATTCTTTTGAATTGGAAAGGCAGCGTCTGATTAGAACTCACATTGACATGAACCCTAAGGCTGCTTGCACACTAATCTGTTTTTCTTCTGCTTTTGCATAAAAAAAAAGCGGAGGAAGAAAAACGTTTGACCACATATTCCTATGGAACTCTTCACACTGATCCATTGTGGGTCCGATGCATTTTTTAAAATCTTGCTTGCTGCATTTTGAATGCAGGTTTGGTGTGGTAAAAAACTGCACCATAAACTCACCTCCCCATTGAAAAAAATGGAAATAGCAGCAAGAATGCAACCGCGATGCGTTTTGGGTGCAATTTTTGAATCACATGTCCTGTAAAAACACAGTGCAATCGCAGCAAAAACGCATGTGTGTGTTTGCTGCGTATCAGTGTGAAAGTAGCTTTAGTGTGTATGCATCAGAGAGGTAGATCTGATGTTTTGGGCCTATGGCAAGTATGGTCAGACCATACTCCCATCTATTCTCTGAGAAAGATGTTCCAGTGTTCAGGTGGGTTTATTTGAATGTTACTTGTTTCCAGTTTAAGAAAATGTAACTGTTGCCGTTTGTTTAGAAGATAGCTGTAATTTTGTTATGTTAATCTGAATCCCTTCTTTTATCAGCAAACGCAGATACCAGACTACGCAGAGCTGATAGTGAAATTTCTTGATGCCTTGATTGACAAATACTTGCCTGTAATTGATGAAGAAGCCAGTGAGGAGTCTTTGCTGACACCTACATCTCCTTATCCTCCCGCTGTGCAGAGCCAACTGAGTATTACTGCGAACCTTAATCTTTCAAATTCCATGACCTCCCTTGCCACTTCCCAGCATTCCCCTGGTGAGTGTCAAATCTATGTTGGGTTCTTGAATGTATTTTGCTCTTTCTCCACTTGAGTGGAATTATAGAGCTTTGGGGAAAAAAAACGAGTGCTGAATGGTGTAAAAATATATAATGGCTGAATGAAGATAAATGCGTGAACACCTTTACTTTTGGGAACACAAGCAAGGTTTTTGTCAGCTAGACTATTTAGTTTTTTTATTTCTTTTCAAACAATCACTAGATAAATGAGTAGTTTGCTATAGGTAGCACCTTGATTTTATTATGAAATACACAGCTCATTTTTAATGGAAGTATTATACCCACTTTGCCATTTTCCCTGTCGTTTTTCTTTTTTTTTTTCAGGTAAACATTGCCTACTATTTTAATTTTGAGCAAAAACCTAGCAAACCTATACATGTTTTGGTCTTTATTGGTGACATCATCACTTATTGACTTTTGTGACAAAACCTTCTAGTATTAGCAGATTGTTTTCACACACCCTCAGCTCATCACATAGGTTGTAATTACATATTGCCATACATGTTGTGTCTCATCCATGTGTTGGTTTATTTTCCACCATTATTCATATTCTTTCTTTTGTGTGTTTTTTTTTTTTGTTTTTATCCCCCACCCCTTTCATTCTGTGTCTGTGAAGCTTCTCTGCCTTGCTCTAAATCTGCAGTTTTCATGCAGCCACTCCCTCATCAAGGTACTTCCTTTCAACCTATATGCACGAGTTCAGTGTCATGTGCAATAGCTTTGAGCGCTTGGAATGAGCATTTGTGTACTAACCTTATAAAATCTGGGAACAGCACACAATCATGGCTTTAGCAAAAGACATGCAGACAACACAGTTTTTTGGATATTAATAGTCTTGTTTATAATTAAACTGTAATATCACATTGGCATTTTCATTGCTGTATTTTAGAAATAATGCACAAATAACAAAAAAGACAGCACTTCGCAATACTGAATTATCCTGATAGATGCTGGGTTTTTAGAGGTGTCTTGTCACCATCTAGATTCACATACTCTCTGCAGACACTCAACATTAATTTCCTAAAAACCCATATCTGGTCATGATTACCTTAGCTTGTTTACAGCAACAAATCCTTGCCATGCAGGCATATTCCTGTGTCCTACTAATCAATTTCACATGCTGGGGGTAGTACAACTACCAGTATTGTTCATGGCCACTATGGATGTAAGGGCTGCAGGTTTGAAAACCCTGCACTGCAGTTGTGTATCTGCCCCTCTCCTTCTGACCATTCACAAAACACATGGCTCCAGGCTGCTTTATATAATAACTAGAGGAGGGAATAGAAACACAACTGCAGTACTAGGGTCTGTGAGACATGCAGCACTTACACCCCGAAAGTACAGGGGGTACCTGTACTAAACCCAGCATGCAAACCTAGTGCTTTGCAAGACACAGATGTATGCCTGCATAATATGGATTTGCTTTTGAGGAAAAGGAACAGGAACTAGAAGTATGCCTGCATGGTGACCATTTGCTTCATAGAAACAGGAACGTTTGCTGCTGAAAACCTGTTAAGGAATCATGTTGGGATTTAAGAATGTGGATGAAGCCGATTGGGAAATATAGTTTCCCTTTAGGTGTCATTATTTGTATTCTTTAAATGTTGCTCTAACTCATTCACATTTTTTGTATGTAAACCTCAGCTTGAGTTATGGAGCTTTGTAAACAGGCTTTTTACAACAAATGATGTAACAATACAGTGAAAATAGAAGTCTGAAGCTCTGCTTGATATAATAGTGAATAATATTAATGCGCAATATTTCATATTTACCTGAATTAGAACAGAAATGTTCTAAAACTTTGGTCCAGACCAAAATAAGGAGAGAAAATATGTACAAAACCAATACAATTTTTTTTTTTTTGTAAAGAGACTGCAAGTACAGAAATGTTCCTGTCATGCTGCTAGAAATGCACTCAGGTCTCAGATGTCTACAAAAGGCAAATCAATCTGAAGTTAAAGTGGTTCCAAAGGCTCTAGGGCAGTGATGGCGAACCTTTTTGAGCCCGAGTGCCCAAACTGCAACCCAAAACCAACTTATTTCTTTCAAAGTGCCAACACTGCAATGAAACCTGAATATCGAGCTTTTGGTTTAGAAAAAACAACTCGTACAGCAGTGCAAACTAATTAACAGTACAGGGATGACCAGAGACTGCGGACACAGTACAGGGATGACCAGAGACTGCGGACACAGTACAGGGATGACCAGAGACTGCGGACACAGTACAGGGATGACCAGAGACTGCGGACACAGTACAGGAGATGACCAGAGACTGCGGACACAGTACAGGGATGACCAGAGACTGCGGACACAGTACAGGGGATGACCAGAAACTGCGGACACAGTACAGGAGATGACCAGAGACTGCGGACACAGTACAGGAGATGACCAGAGACTGCGAACAGTACAGGAGATGACCAGAGACTGCGGACAGTACAGGAGATGACCAGAGACTGCGGACACAGTACAGGGATGACCAGAGACTGCGGACACAGTACAGGGATGACCAGAGACTGCGGACAGTACAGGGATGACCAGAGACTGCGGACACAGTACAGGAGATGACCAGAGACTGCGGACACAGTACAGGAGATGACCAGAGACTGCGGACACAGTACAGGGATGACCAGTGACTGCGGACAGTACAGGGATGACCAGAGACTGCGGAAAGTACAGGGATGACCAGAGACTGCGGACATAGTACAGGGATGACCAGTGACTGCGGACAGTACAGGGATGACCAGAGACTGCGGACAGTACAGGGATGACCAGAGACTGCGGACACAGTACAGGGATGACCAGAGACTGCGGACAGTACAGGGATGACCAGAGACTGCGGACACAGTACAGGGATGACCAGAGACTGCGGACACAGTACAGGGATGACCAGAGACTGCGGACACAGTACAGGGATGACCAGAGACTGCGGACACAGTACAGGAGATGACCAGAGACTGCGGACACAGTACAGGGATGACCAGAGACTGCGGACACAGTACAGGAGATGACCAGAGACTGCGGACAGCACAGGGATGACCAGAGACTGCGGACAGCACAGGGATGACCAGAGACTGCGGACAGCACAGGGATGACCAGAGACTGCGGACAGCACAGGGATGACCAGAGACTGCGGACAGCACAGGGATGACCAGAGACTGCGGACAGTACAGGAGATGACCAGAGACTGCGGACAGTACAGGGATGACCAGAGACTGCGGACAGCACAGGGATGACCAGAGACTGCGGACAGTACAGAGATGACTGCTGACCTTTGGGGAGGGAGGGGGAGCGGGTACCTGAATTTGACAGGTACCCGCTCTTCCGCAGAGTTTTTTTTTTATCTTACCTGTTCCTTTATCCAGCCGCGCGCTGTCTTCCCGGCTTCTGTAGTGTGGGCGCTCGTCGGACAGCCGGATGCCCAGTGCGCATGCGCGAGAAGCGCTGCGCTTTGTGATTGGTCCGGCGGCTTCTGGGATCTGTCATGTGTCCCAGGTACCGCCTTACCATTCACAAAGAGCACTGCTTCTTGTGCATGCGCACTTGGGACCCGGCTGTCACGCACACTACAGCCGGGAAGACAGCGCGCCGCTGGATTCTCCTGGCGTGCCCACAGATAAGGCTCGGCGTGCCGGCTGTGGCACGCATGCCACGGGTTCGCCATCACTGCTCTAGGGTTTTTTTTCCTTTATGCATGAAGGTAAAAAACCTTCAGTGTGCAGCACCACCCTCCGGACCCGACCCGTCCAATCCTTACCTGAGCCCCCTCTGATCAAGCGATGTTCACAACAGCCTCTGCTGAGACAGCAATCACAGCCGGTGAGCCAATGAGGAGAGAGTGGGGGTGGGCCGAGCCTCGGCTCTAGGTGTCTTATGGAAGCATAGAGCAGCTGCTTGGGAATGAGCACGCAAAGGTGCTACCAGAGTGAGCGGCTTTCCCTGGGGTCACTGCTCGAGTGGGAGGAGCGCCGGCGGGGACCTAAAAAGAAGAGGATCAGGGCTGCTTTGTGCAAAACCACTGCACATAGCAGGTAAGTATGACATGTTTGTTATTTTAAGAAAAAAACACAAAGCTTTAGGGCTCGTTAACACTTGACTGTTTTACCAACTCTTGCCAAACGCTCCTATAGCGTTTGGCAAGCGTTGGTCCGGTATTTGCAGAGCGTTTTTTAACGCTCGGCAAACGCTCCGCAAATGCCGCATGCGAAGTTCAGCGGCGGTTGCTAGGTGTTTGCCGAGCGTTAAAAACGCCCTACAAATGCCTATAATGAAGTTTGAATGGTGTTACCGCTCCGCAAACGCCCCACAACCGCACTGCAAATGCTGGCCAGGCGAGACTAGAATAGAAGGCTTCAACTCCTCCTGACTGGACCAGAGGTGTCCGTTTTGACACAACGCTAACGCTCCCGTTAGAACAGCACCATGTGCTGCAATGTGCATAATTGTCCAAGGCGTTTGGGAAGAGGTAAAAACACTTCCCAAATGCCTTTCTGCCGCCTGCACACAACTCTAGTGTGAACGTAGCCTTAGTGTCACTTTAAGGTTAAAAACTGTGGGATATCACAGAAAGTCTGCAGGGGACACAAGGAAGCTCTGCATTTCTGACGAGAGAAACATTTATGTATGTATTTCGAACTAACAGATTTGACAAAATGTTTAATAATATATTAAAAAAGAGAAGAGAAAGTCATTGTTAGGGTTTACATATACTTTAGCCAGGATAAAAAGAGTTTTCTTATCCTCCCGGATATGCAATGTGTTTTGGAGGTGTGTGAATCACAAGCCTGACTAAAAAAATTTACAAATATTTTAGCTGGTAAAATATATTGACAAATTTAAATGGTGTGTGCTAGGCTTGTTTACAATGGAAATGTGATAAGATTTAGTGTCTCTGCATATCAGCTTCTTGCACACATCGCATGATGTGAGCTTTCATGTTTAAAGTGCAACCCAGGACAGAAGCCAGAGGGTTGTCCGAACAT